TTGGTCGATTACTTTGATTGGCATTCATATATCTACCTAGTGAGGTTTGAGCCTTATTTGTTTCTTGAGATACATTGGTCGTGCTCTTGTTTGATTAGAACTTGCCCTGTTTCTGAATTGAAATAAATTGATTAGATTTGTGAACTGTGTATATGATTAAGGCATTTATTGTCCTTTAATTTCTCTGCAAATTATTCCCTAGTCTTCCCTTTTTGATCCTTATTGGTTTTTGTTGATAACCTCGTGATGATGACGTTATTGGAGTTGCAGGTTAAGAATTGGAGGGGATGATTGTTGGAGTTGTTTTTATATTAAAAAAAATGGAAAGAACAAAAAAAGAGAGAAAAAAATGTAGTAGAATGGATTATAAAATGTCCAATAAGATTTACACAAAAAAAAAGAAAATAAAGAAAAAAAGAAATAATATGGGTGAAACGTGTGGTTTTAGGAGAAGTGTGGGGGAAGATCGGGTATGTTTGAGCAACCGACTGAGTGTATGATTCTTGGAGTAAGGTGTTTGAGTTATGTAATGAATTCCAGCCACTTAGCCTATATTTATCCTACATGTCCAAAGAGCCTACGTTACAACCGGAAAGACTTTTTGATGCACTAGTTTCGATTTTGATTGGTTTAGAATAGGAAGTTAGACAACGGGAAAGCATATGATTGAACTTGTTATCGACCAATTTGAGTGCATCCATCTTTATCTGTATAAGAATTCGAGTGAGGCACAAATATATATTCCCATACTTGAGAGAACGTCATGTCGAAGTATAGTGTTCAAGCATGTAGTTATGTGATGCTCGTATATGCCATTTGAATGCTTGTTGTTGAAGTTGAACATTTGAAGCTTATCTTGTTAATGACTGATGTCCATGCTCGGTATTAGTTTTGTGTTTTTTCTTTTCTTTATTTTTTGTTCGGGACGAACAAAGGTTTAAGTGTGGGGGAGTTGTTTGTCCCATTTTTGTTGCATTTTCCGTGCTTCTTTTGCTTTTTTCTCCCTGTTTTAGGTCGTTTCTTTAGTTTTTAGTCCGTTTTGTATTTTATTATGTGTTTTTCTTCATTTTTAGTCTTTAGGTGTTTTTTCGTTTGTTTTTCCAGTTTTCTTCGTGTTTTGTCGTTTTTGGTGTGTAGGTCGGGATCTTTTGGCGAATTTTATCTTCAAGAAAAGTTGGTTTCGAGAGCATAACTAGATAGATGGGTTTGTTAGCGACGCGTAGGAAAAAACGAAACTCAATTCCGAGTTCGAACGAGCCCAAACGAGCCCGAAACGTAAAATCATGCAGTGCAACCAAAGTCACGACCGGATTCTTCTCGTTGGACTCGAGAAGCTCAGGGGAGTGATTGCTAGGAGCATCACGTGTGTCGCGGTGGTCGTCGGAGGTGCGCGGGTGGCGGATAGTGTCGGCGGCTTGCGATCGGATGCTGCAGTGTTGCCGGGCGTCGCAGGTTGTCGCGGCCTTCGGGCTGCGTCTTGCGTGCGGTGGTGACATCTCACGATCGTCGGCTGCGGCTCGGGCTGAGACGATCGGCGACTGTGGTTCGCGATGGTTGTTGGTGGTCGGCCGGTGGTCACGGGGCTGATCGTCGGTTGATGATCACGGGGTCTCGGTACCTCGGGATCTTCTACTGTATATCTCAAACACCTCTTCGAATTGTACTGATGGAACAACAAGACGAAGATAAATCTCGACTATGGGAACTAGAGAGAAAGGGGGCTGCCAAAATGTGTTTCACGTTAGGTTTTGCTGTGTCTCAATCCCATGAGCTTAATGATGTATATATAAAGCTACAATAGGGATCCTAAGGAGATGAGGACTAGGGCTTCTTTTAGCATTAGGCCTAACTGTGAGCCAAGCCCACTCTTGCCATTACTTAAATAATGTTTCGGTCCACTAACGAAAACATTATTGAACTCCCTTATTCTCCTCAAAATTATATTCGAGATTCCAATTATAATTACTCGATTTATCTCCCCACGTTTAAGATATAATGTCGGATAATCAAGAATTAATTAATATTATAATACCAAAGCTAGCGCCGTTGATCACAATATTATTGCGGTGGAACTTAATCCACCTGCAGGGTTTAGCATAACAACATTCATGGACTCACTTCGGGGACATCATCAAACTGTTGCATATGGTGGCCGTAAATATTCTAACAGAACATCGTACATATATTAATATTACCCAAAACAGCAAGTATGTCGACTCGGTAAACTGAATCTCAAGTAAGTGAATCAAAGTAATAGTTACCATATGTACATGCCTGTTTATATCCTACGGGTTAAGAGAACTCAGTACTTAAACGAGACTAAAGTTTGTTTACGACGATCAGTATAAAACAAACTGTTACTCTATGTGGTCCTATTCAATTCATAAATATACTAGTGCAACTAATCAGTCAAGACCAACCGTACAGTTGACACTACAACCGTTCCGATGGTTTATTCATTTCCATCTAGGTTGTGAACCAACAATTCTTGTTTCGCAAGTAACTTATAAAATGATCTTCTATTCACCCGATAATGAACCATTTTTATCAAAGTGCAAATCAACAGAACATACGACCTATTTAATCAAACGTAATTCTCATTCAGCAAAGATAAAGTGTAATATCATCTAAAGCCAAGCTTTTAGTATATAACACCAACACGGGTCCCGCAGGCATTCTCGGCTCGCACGGTCGTGGGTTGACACCCAATGGAAGTGTTCCGCATGCTGTTTTGCAGGGAGGTCTTCTTTGTAGCCAAACTCACGCGGTCTCTCGATTGTCTCGCTTGCTCGTGGACGTCGTCTTGGGGTGAGTGCTGGCGAAGCCTCGGTGATGTCTCACGCACTCATGAATTGGATCTTGTTGCGAGTGTAGCATGATGGCAACTGGCTCTCGCGGGCTCACGAATTGGATCTCATGGCGAGTGTGGATGGATCTCGACTCTTTCACTTGGGTGACTTAAATGGCTAGAGAAAGGTTCAAATGGATCTCGGAATGGCTATCTCTTTCTCTCGGCAGCCCGGATGGCTCAAATAACTCACCTAAGAATAGCTCAAATGGTGGCTCGGGTGGCTCGTCTTGGAATGGCTCGGAATCGAAAACATGGACAATGGCTCGGAGAATGGTTCGAACAATGGCTTGTCTTCCCAACTTGCATAAAGGATCTAATCTAAACCAAAAGCGTAATGCAAAAACACAAAACGAAAAATGAAAATACATAAAACACGACAAAATGGACCGATTGACACAAAATAATCCTAAAAAGACTCGACTAAGGCACATAAAACACAAGAAAAACACTATAAAAACATAACAAACAACTCCCCCACACTTAACTCTTTGCTTGTCCTCAAGCAAACAAAATAATAAGATGTTCGAGAAGAAAGATAGAAAAGTCAAAAATTAATCATCATGCGAAATGAAATTCTCTTCTTCCTCTGGTTATCCACAAAACTAAACTCAAATTCGAAAACACAGTCCCCACAAGATGAGTTCATACAAAACAAAAGCTCGTCCCAAGTCATTCTACACATGATTTACTCGATTCAAACTTCTTTTTCCAAATACATGTGAAAAAAGCTATAAAAGGTCTACTTGAAATGTGAAAAACGATAAGCACAAAACCTACAAGGCCAACTCCCCCTTTTTCTATCTTTCTTCTTTTTTTTTTCTTTTCTCTTTTTTTTTACATGAGTCACATTTTTCAAATGACAGTCGTTAGGACGATTATTACAAGGTTTAACCTCGGGGTTTATCCCCGCATCTCCTAGGCTCGTTTCCCTTACTCATTGACCCATCTTTCTAGAAGGAGACTAAATGGGTCAAGCGAAGTCTAATCCTTTCAACTCTCACGAGCTCATTTTTATTCAATTTTTTTTCCCGTGAGCTTCTTTTTCCAAACAAGGTTTCGGATGATTATTATCTAGGTATAGCCTCGAGGGGTTTCCTCGAGTCTCCTAGACCGAATCCCGGGCTCATTATCACATTCCACTAAGTGGGTCGAAATAAGAGGAGCCTAATCCATACTTCCTCGCGAACCCACATTTTATCCTTTTTATTTTATTTTTCTTTTATTTTATTTATTTTTTTTTTACGAAGGAAGTGGTTGCACAAGGATACATCAAAGACATGATAAATGAACATCAATAATCAATCAAGACGTACCACAAGCGTCTAAGCATAACACGATTACAACAATTGAATCACAAAGCTAGAATGTTTCAAGATCACCAATCGAGAACAAACAAGGGAGATAAAAATTTTGTGGATTCAAATGCGTGTTCCAATGTCAACAAATCATCATTTAATTTTAGGAAACCATCTAATTCATCAAGCACATAAGGCACAAAAATTATCAATGAAACCAATCAACAATCTGAACTCACCACTTAGCCATTTTGACTTTGAACAATTATTGAGCTACATGAGGTTGAATCGACACAAAAACACAAGAATTAAAACAAAAACTGGTCTAAGATGCTTAAAATACAAAGATAAATCATCTAAAATGAAAGAAAAACGCCTAAGCATGCATAATCAAGAAAATCCTCCCCCACATTTCAAACAAAGCAATGTCCGCATTGCTTGACCAAAAAGTACATAGAAGGAGCACATAATCACATAAACTCATGCAAAGGACAATTAAATGAAACAAACTGAATGAAAAGAAACCAAATCACTAAGGCACATAAAAATAACAAAGAGAAAAAGAAAAATAAGAAAAAGAAAAAGTGTACTCAACACGGTGATAAATCACCGTGTGTTCATCGGTGTATCTTCCGGAGGAGAAGAAGAGATTGGGCCCTTAGCCCGAGTGTCAACATGAGAAGTAGAGGTTACGGTCCAAGCCTCAATACATTGGTCCATCTTAGCTTCTATCGTCGTGGGCCGAGCATCAAAAGAGTTAAAAATAGAATCAAAGCCAATCAAACAAGACTCAATACAATCAAATCCGCGATTCATCAAGGCGGTCATTTGCACCATGAACCCATCCCACGGGTTCAGAGTGTACTCGGTGGATGGAGAGGCATGCTCATCGGCTGGTTAGGCAATCTCGGGGGAGGAAGTGCTGTGTTCTCGGACGGTTCGGCGTCACCTCCCCTCTTGTTCAACTCTGGCCTTCGTTTTCTCTTTCTCAAGCATCTGATAGTAGTTCTTGACGCATTCCGGGTCTCATGTGAGTGAAGAGTGATCTCGTTGGAGGGAATGTGCGATGCTACAATCTCTTAGTCATCAATGTACCTCGTGTGCACACACTCTTCTCCGTAAGCAAGGTCGAAATGAGCCGCAATCATAGTGATCAAGACTCCCAAGAATGGGGGAAATCGAGTACCGCTAGAGACATAAAGTAACGTCTGCCATATGAATCCGGTGATACAAACCGACTTCATATGCACCGCCCACCAATGAAGAAATATGTCATCATGGCTCATTTTGTTTTCTTCCCCTTTGTCGAAAATGTTTGAACAAATGAACTTATGAACCATCGCCAATGCATGATCCATGATGAACCCATTAGATATATATATGATCTTTGTGGGACACCCAGATAATTCCTTCCATGCTCCATCAACATCAAAACCCGTCGGATATTTGTTCGTCCCCGTAGCTAGAAACCGGTTTGTCGTATTTTTGGGTAAGTGGTAACCGAGCTATTCGACCTCGAGTCATTATCAAAGGAAGGCTATTCAATCACAAAACCCAAAACAAGGTCCTAAACATTCCACTCGCTCGCAGGGATTGGATTGCACGAAATTACACTTAGCAAATGAAAGCAAATGAAGCAAGATGCGAATTTTAGAAGAAAGATAGAAACTTTGGTCGAACAGAATCTCCATGACTCAAGAAAAAGAAAATAAACAAAGAGAAATATGCTCGCTAAGTGATCCCAGGTAACCTAACACGAGCCTTCTAAGTTAGATTATCACGCTTTGAGAAAAGTCGAGATCTCTACACAAGATAAGCACATATCGGATTCCTGACACACGTAAGCAAGCAATAAAAATAAAGTAAAGCCTAGAAACAAGCATAAACACACAATTCGAAAGACAAACTCGAAGTAGTAAGGCCTAAGCAAGGTACCTACTCCCCTATAGCATGTTCGGATGAAAATAGTGAATAAAGCTCGAAACTTGGATAAAAATAAAATTATCGGAATTTCGGCAGAAAATAGAGTCATGGACCTCCAAACTAAAGAACAAAAAGAAAAGATAGAAAATATAAGTTGGGAAATGGGAGGTTTTTTAAAAAATACAAAGCACAATGTCTATTTATAGCTACACCACAAACACACACTAAAAACACACACATTTACTAAAGTTTTACAATTCGCGTGTCTCAAAAACTTGTTAGCAGCGAGTTTGGGCATGGAGTAGTGCTGCCGGGCGCGTTCGCAGGTCGCCAATGCAATCTCGCAGCGAGTGTGGTTGTTTGGTGGCTGCGGTGTGGCATTTGGAGCGGAGCGAAACCATGTTCGCTGCGAGTGCCGCCTTGGTTGGTGAGCACGCCTGTTCGCGGGTCGCTAGTGCTCTTTCGCTGTGAGTGCGGGCCTTTGGCTCTTGCCGGACACGCTTCGCGGGTCACCAAGATGAACTCGCTGCGAGTGTGCAGATTGTGGTGGCGCTCATCCGTTTCGCGGGTCTCCAGTCTAGTGTCGCACCTAATTCACGGGCTATGTGCGTGCATGCGGTGCCGTCTCGTGGAGCGCCAAAACCATCTTGCGGCGAGTGCAAGGATGTGGCTGCCTGACCTAAAGTTAGACTCGCGATTCGATTAAGTGGCTCAGGTGGCTCGATGTTGGTTCGGTCAAGTGGCTCGAAAATAGCTCGAAAATGGCACGAACGACACGTCTTCCCAAAATTGCAAATTAGACCTAAACAACACACCAAAAGAGACGCGAAAATACGACAAAGTACAAAAACACATAACGAAAACGAAAACACATAAAACACGAACAAAAAGGACTGGTTGACACTCAAACGAACTTAAAAATGACTCTACTAAAGCATATGAAACACAATAAAATACCACAAAAACATAACAAACAACTCCCCCACACTTAACTCTTTGCTTGTCCTCAAGCAAACAAAATAACAAGTAGCTCGAAAGAAAAATTGGAAATTCCAAAATTAATGAGCTTGCGAAATGAAACTCATCTTCATCCGAGTATCCATAAAATCAAACTCCAATCCGAAAGCACGGTCCCCACATAATGAATCCATACAAGACAAAAACTCATCCCAAGTCATTCTACACATGATTTACTCGATTCAAACTCCTTTTTACTAAATACACATGCAAAAAGCTATAAATGGTCTACTACACATATAAGGATGATAAGCATGAAAACAATAAGCCAACTCCCGTTCTTCTTTCTTCTTTATTATTATTTTTATTTTTGTTATTATTATTTTTTTAATTGTTAATGAGCTACTTCTTCCAGACGAGAGCCGTTAGGACGATTATTACCTAGGTTTATCCTCGGGGTTTGTCCCCGAGTCTCCTACCGAGTCTCCTAGGCCGGTTTCCGTACTCATTGACCCGATTCATCGAAAAGGGACTAACCAGGTCAAGTGGAGTCTAATCCTTTCAACTCTCACAAATTCATTTTCGTGAGCATCTTTTTCCAAACGAGATTTTCAGACGATGATTATCTAGGTTTAACCTCGAGGGGTTTCTTCAAGTTTCATTGACTAATTTCCCGGGCTCATTATCCCATTCTACGAAGTGGCTCTGGATAAGAGGAGCCTAATCCATACATCCTCGCAAACTCACATCTTATTCTTTTTTTTTTCTTTTTTTTTTTCGAAGAGAGTGGCACACAAGGATACATCACGAATACAATATCATGAACATCACAAATCAATCAAAACATACCACAAGTGTTTAGCATAACACGTTTACAACGATCGAACATAAGGAAAGTATGTCTCGCGATCACCAATCGAGAACAAAACTGTATTCGAGCAATTATAAAAAATCAAGAATCAATCAAAGTCATGTCAAGCTCGGTTCAAGTCACGGCCCGAGCCATACCACACGACCAAGTAGCAGTGGGCAGCCGGGTGCACTAGCCACTCACGTGGCCCGACAGCCAACGGCAGCCCAAGTGCACCGGTAGCCGTCGGCCCAAAAGGTGGTGCAAGTCACCAAACAACAACCCAAGTCTCACTACACATGCCTCGCGTACGCAGCCCGCGTCGCAGTCCAGGACGCGACCCGTAGTGCAGCCCAGTGCGTGGCCCAGTGTGCAGTCCAGCGCGCAGCCCTCCAGCGCAGTCCACGCGCGGCCTGCAGCGCTGACAGCGTGCGGCCCAACGGCAGAAGGGCCCAACCGAGGCCCAAACAAATTTTGGATAATTTTACTCGGACAACTTGTGTTTGACCACGAGAAAATGGTAGATAAGGGTCAGATAAACATCACCCTATCTTACCTTGGCACCACTACTAAGGAAGAGGGGATGAGGTGTGATGAAAATGACAAATCTGCATATTTTAATGCAAATGACGGGAACACTTCATCATTATAAGCTTTCCTCTAAAAATATATGCAGAGGACATCCAAATACTTCGAAACATTCGACCACTCTCGAGAAAAATCCGACCAAAGTCCGGTGAGCCTTTTCCGTGCCCTAGAAGCGAGAACGAGTCCATCGTGAGTAACATGTCATTCTTTTCACTCGGTCAAGTAGAATTCAATTTTTAGGCGATATTTTGATCACCGAGTCAAGTCTTCATTTATGTAAGTATTTGCCATGTTCTTAGTACCAAAAATTAGGATATATATATGTGAGTTTCGGCCCTAAGTCTTTTCATAAAAAGAGTTAAGTGATTCGGTGACCTAGAATCCTATTTGGTTCGTTTTTGTCTCCTGAACCAGTTTAAAATCGAGCAGAATCATTCTAGTGTTTTTATACATTTTTAGTCTTCTTTCATCCTCAATAATTGGGGTAAGTCGAGGGTCACCGGAAATGTAGCTGGCTGGCCGGCGAGGAGCCGACCGTGACCACTGCTATTCAACAAGCATGCGCTAGCGCCCGACAGGTTCCATGTTCAGAGGTTAATGTAACGGGAAATGTCTCGAGACATAGGTTAACCCGCACTTGCTTGTGTCTATGCCCCAAGTGAGTACCGAGTTCAGCCTGCAATGTGTTAACACCCAGCATGCACGGGTAGTGCCGGTAGCACTCACCCGCGTCAGGCCTCGTGCCAATGAGTAGGGCCTGATAACCCTTAATCGTGTCCAGCCGCACGTGAAGGCTCGTAGCAATGACTGATTCACCCGGTGACGTCGTGGCTATGCTAGTGGTATTGATACTGTATCCGAGAGCCGTGTGGCTAGAGTTCCTGACTTGGGCATACGATTACAACCATTCACGCCTTGCACGACCGAGCCGAGGCATGCGAGTCATTAATGACTGAACCGATGCACTTGCATCACCCGCGACCGACCGGCTCATGGCGAGTCACCGGTCCAAGCCCACGAACCGGTCTGATTAAGTGGTCGGTTCGAGATTTTTAGTTCGAGTTTATACTGGAATGTTTAGTATTTTTCTGAACCAAGTCAATCCAGTTCAAACTAGTTATTTTATTTCTGGAATTAAAATATTTTAAAATTTCTAGAGTATTTCATTAAAAATCCGGATTAAGGATGAGTTTAGAATCGAGCCATAAACACTCTAGCATATAACAACATCTTAGTTTTTATTAAGTCTTTCGAGCATAAGGCTCCGTATATTTTTATAAAATTTTTATGTAGCTTAAGAAGTCAAATCTCCGTATCTCGAGAAGTTCAACATTTCCTATTACATAGAAGAAAATGTGGGAACATTGCACTGGGATTTACGTATGTTATATTCTCAGTTACCACATCCGAGGTATGTACGTAAGAAAATGTCCCCCGATGAGTGGGCAACGGCCTACCAGTTTAGGTCCGTATGATTTATCGCCTGTGTCGAGGCCAATGTGTCCATAAACCTGGTTTCGGTGGGATTTCAGTATGGTTATATCCCATTAGAGTGTGCACACGATACCGGCCAATGTGTCTGAGAGTAGTAAGAATTCAGTTACATTTATATTTGTCAGTTACATGCATATATGCCAGTTTCTATGTTATGATTATTGCATCTGTTATTTTTGGGTTTTTACGGAGTACCATGGTTATGTACTCGCGTCCCATTATTTATGAAATTTCAGACAATGGAGTCGAGCGTGCAGGCTGAACATATGTGGAGGTGGTCAAGCCGAGATGGCTAATAAAGGACATTTTTCATATTTTGTAATAAATAATCATACTGGATGAATTAAGATTAAGTTTCCGCTACCTTTAAACTCTATATTGTCGAATAATGCTTGATTTCTGTTTTTCTTATATCAGTCTATCCAGATGTGTGATTGGATTGAATGTCTAAATAACTAATTAACAATCAAGTTT